TCCCCGAGAGCCTCATTTATTTCATTTATTTTTGATGCCATGCCTTGTTTATTATTTAGATAACCCCTTTTTACAAAAGAAAGTATATTAGAAAAAAAACTACGTAACTACGACGGCGCATTAGAGATAAGAGACAGTCAGGGATTTGCCAATTCGCGAGGTTTACTACGACGTCATGAGAACGCTGCCTTTTTTTCAACCTCGAAAATCTTAGGCCTAGAGACCTTTTTTCGACATGGGTATGCGGCTCCTTCCAACATCGCCGCATGCTACACTAAGCTGCACCACACTGTACAAGGCTATTTTACACCATACCACACAAGAGAACATCATACCACATCACACCACACATACGACATCCCGCCACACTACACACCACACCTAACATCCACACAGTCACAGAGAGTCTATCCACCTATCTATCTGTCTGTCTATCACAGCCACCCTCATCTTCACTTTCATGCACATGGATACACTGCCATTTCCGGTTGTTCTTTTATTTGACGGGTATTGAGTCAACGTTCTTCCAGGAGTTGAAATATTATCATTCGCTCTCTCTCTCTCTCTCTCTCTCTCTCTCTCTCTCTCTCTCTCTCTCTCTCTCTCTCTCTCTCTCTCTCTCTCTCTCTCTCTCTCTCTCTTCTCTCTCTCTCTCTCTCTCTCTCTTTCTCTCTCTTTCTCTCTCTCTCTCTCTCTCTCTCTCTCTTTCTTTCTCTCTCTTTCTCTCTTTCTCTCTCTCCTTCTCTCCTTCTCTCCTCCTCTTCTTCTCTCCTTCTCTCCCTCTCTCCCTCTCTTCTTCTCTCCCCCCCCTCCCCCCTCTTCCTCTCCCCCCCTCCCCCCTCCCCCCTCCCTCCCTCTTCCTCTCCCCCCTCCCCCCTCCCTCTTCCTCTCCCCCCTCCCCCCTCCCTCCCTCTTCCTCTCCCCCTCCTTCTTTCCGTTTGCTTCCCTCCCCCAACTTCGTCTCTCTCTCTCTCTCTTTCTCTCTCTCTCTCTCTCTCTCTCTCTCTCTCTCTCTCTCTCTCTCTCTCTCTCTCTCTCTCTCTCTCTCTCTCTCTCCTCCCTCACATTCACATTTGTTACATTCCTATTCTGCGTCAGCACCGCCCCTACCCTACCTTTTTCCCTCCCTCCCTCCCTCACTCCCCCCCTCCCTCCCTCACTCCCCCCTCCCTCCCTCACTCCCCCCTCCCTCACCCTCCCCCCTTTCCTGATCTTCACCTTGTAATTTCTGTCGCTAAAGTAGTGCGTTCGTAAGTGCGTAAGATTGACTTTCGTCCTAGTTCTTTGTGCTGATCCCTCGCTGCCAGTCACAGTCAGACAGTTCGCCAGTCGAAGACAACACGGCCGTAGTGTATGTTTGGAATGACGTAATTAGCAGGTTAGGCGTAAACTTCGCTGCTGTTGTATTTGATTTATATATATATATATACACACATTTCTACATTATATATTGTATATTATATGTATATGATATATGTTGTATATATTATATACATATATACACATGTTACGTCCTTATTCCCGGTCCCAGTCTTTTCCTCTGTTTCTAGATGATCTTCGTCTATATTTCTCTCTCCTCTTTCGTGATCTTTCTCCTTCCCTTCTTCATCTCCCGTCCGTCCTCTCCCCCCCCCCACCCCCGCCTTCTTTCCGCCTTTCTTTGCCATGAACTAGCTGCCGGTGTGTACATTGTAGATGCTGCATGTTGTTCATCGTGTAGCGTCTTCACACGTACGTAGACGAGGTTGTCTTGTATTTTGAGAGCAGGATCGTGCATGACTCCGCCCCCCCCCCCCCCCCCCCACCCCTGTCGCCTTTGTCACCCACCCCCACCCCCACCCCCACCGCCCCCTCACATGACACGAGCTGACTGACAGTGCATGAATGGTTGGTCGTCAGCCGTCGTCCAGCGGCGGTAGTGCTTCCACAACATCGGTAACCTATTCGGGGAACATAGTACTAATGTACGTTTTGCTCTGCTCTGGGAAATGCAAGGAAAGGAGAAACCGGCACCTCCCTCTTCTCGAACGGGGGCTCCCGACAGGACGCCCCGACGGACGCCTCTTAGTCTTTGGCATCTCACCTTGGCTCCTCTCCCTTCTCCTCTTCCTCCTCCTCGTCCTCGTCCTCCTCCTCCTCGTCCTCCTCCTCCTCCTCCTTCCATTCCCCCGCTATTGGTGACAGGCCTTGCTTGATGGTGATCGGAGGAAGATAGAAAGAGGAGGAGGATCAGGATCAAAGGAGAGTTAGAGAAGACGCTATGATTAGGAGCAAAGAGGAGGAGAAGGAGGAGGAGGAGGAGGAGTTGGACAAGAAGATCCTTGAGAAGACGCGGTAGCTGAGGGTGAGAGGTGCTAGTTAGGCTTAGAGTCGACTTCTTTACACGTTGCACCAACTCGCATCCGTCTGACGCGTGTGTCGGTCTTTTTTCTTCTCTTCCCCGAACTCCAGACGAGGGCGCCGGCACCTCCCACGGCGGCGCCGACTACGACGGCACTTACGGCGGTTACCCCAAGACGGAGGGGGACCAGGGGCAACACCTCCCCCCAGACCACCTCTCGTCTGACCACCTCCCCTCTGACCACCTCCCCTCAGACGCCACGGACGCCAGCGGCCAGAGAATGACGGTGACGCCGGAGCTGCTGGGCCTCATGCCATCCAACGCAACCTCACATTATTCGTCAGGTGAGTCGGTTGTGTTTCCCTTTCTCTCTCTTTTTTCTCTCTCGTTCTCTTTTTTCTCTCTCTCTCTTCTATTTTATCTCTTTCTCTTTTTCTCTTCTCTCTTTCTTTTCTCTCTTTTTCTTTTCTCTCTCTCTCTTTTTCTTTTCTCTCTCTCTTTTTCATTTCTCTCTCTCTCTCTTTTTCATTTCTCTCTCTCTCTCTTTTTCATTTCTCTCTCTCTCTCTTTTTCTTTTCTCTCTCTCTCTCTTTTTCTTTTCTCTCTCTCTCTCTTTTTCTTTTCTCTCTCTCTCCCTTTTTCTTTTCTCTCTCTCTCCCTTTTTCTTTTCTCTCTCTCTCTCTCTCTCTCTCTCTCTCTCTCTCTCTCTCTCTCTCTCTCTCTCTCTCTCTCTCTCTCTCTCTCTCTCTCTCTCTCTCGCTCTCTCCCGCTCTCTCCCTCTCTCTCCCCTCTGTCTCTCCTCTCTCTCTCTCCTCTCTCCTCTCTCCCTCTCTCCTCTCTCCCTCTCTCCTCTCTCCCTCTCTCCTCTCTCTCTCCTCTCTCTCTCCTCTCTCTCTCTCTCCTCTCTCTCTCTCTCCTCTCTCTCTCTCTCCTCTCTCTCTCTCTCCTCTCTCTCTCTCTCCTCTCTCTCTCTCTCCTCTCTCTCTCTCTCCTCTCTCTCTCTCTCTCTCTCTCCTCTCTCTCTCTCCTCTCTCTCTCTCCTCTCTCTCTCTCCTCTCTCTCTCTCTCTCTCTCTCTCTCTCTCTCTCTCTCTCTCTCTCTCTCTCTCTCTCTCTCTCTCTCTCTCTCTCTCTCTCTCTCTCTCAGGTATTTTCAATTAGGTCAGATGGAGTTTGTCTCCCTGCTTGTGTCGCCGCTGTGGTGAGTATTGTGTGCGAGTGCATTAGTGCCCGATGACTCGTGGCCGTTCCTCCCGAAGCGCCGGTTGACGCGCCCCGCCCGTCCCGTTTCAGACACGGACAGTCTATCGGGGACGCCGGGCGCTCGCAAGCTGTGGACGGACGAGGACATGGACAAGGCCCTAGACGCCCTCCGCAACGCCGCCATGTCCCTGAGCAAGGCGGCGCACGTGTACGGCATCCCCGCCACGACCCTGTGGCAGCGCGCCCACCGCATGGGGATCGAGACGCCCAAGAAGGAGGGCCCAAACAAAACGTGGAGCGAGCATGACCTCGCCGGGGCCCTCGAGGAGCTCCGCACCGGCAGGATGTCTGCCAACAGGTAAGCACCCGCGCCCTGCTATCGCGCGTCTCATGTGTTTGCTTACGGATTTGGGACAGTGGGATACTAACCGTAATATTTTCAGTCATATTTACTGATGATTATCTTTTTCCTCTCTCCCCAAACCTTTCCGCCTTCCTTCTTTACTCTATTTGCACTCTTGCCACTCACACCTTTCTTCCATAACATTCTTTCGCTTACCTCAATCACCTCGTCTTCCTCCTCCTCCTCCTCCTCCTCCTCCTCCTCCTCCTCCTCCTCCTCCTCCTCCTCCTCCTCCTCCTCCTCCTCCTCCTCCTCCTATTTCTTCCTCCTTTTCTCTTCTTTGTCATTTTCCCTTTCTCCCCCCACCTATTCCCTCTTCTCCCTCTCCCCTATTCTCTTTTCTCCTTCCCTCTTATTCTCTTTTCTCCCTCCCTTCCTATTCCCTCTTCCCCCTCCTATTCCCTCTTCCCCCTCCTCTCCCCCCTTTCTCCCCTCCCCCCCTTTCTCCCCTCCCCCCTTCCCCCCCGCAGAGCCTCCAAGGAGTTCGGGATCCCCAACTCCACCCTGTACAAGATCGCGCGGAAGGAGGGCATCAAGCTCTCGTCGCCCTTTTCCGCCATCCAGCCCTCGTGGAACCCCGACGACTTGACGAAGGCGCTGGAGGCCATTCGGGGTGGAATGAGTGTCCAGAAGGCGGCCCAGGAGTTCGGCATCCCCACCGGGACTCTGTACGGGCGCTGTCGGCGGGAGGGGATCGAGCTCAGCAAGTATCAGGTAAGTTAGGCTGCTTGTTGGGCGTTCGGTGTGGGCGTGTGAGAGCTCCGATCGGGTTGGGGCTAGGTGGGTCACTTATTCGGGCGTTCGGCGTGGGCGTGTGAGAGCTCCGATCGGGTGGGGGCTAGGTGGGTCACTTATTCGGGCGTTCGGCGTGGGCGTGTGAGAGTTCCGAGTAGGTGATTCGGGAAGGGCTAGTTTAAAAGAGTGTGAGTGAGTGGGTTCGGGGTTAGGGTAGTTTAGGGAGAGAGTGGGTGGGTTGGGTAGTTAGTGGGAATTATTTGACGTGTAGGTTGAGTGAGGGCGTCAGCGGATGTGAGTGTGCGATTTCGTGAGTCGGTGGGTAGGTCAGTGGGTGAGTGAGTAGTAGGTTTTAGTAGGCCTACGTGAGTCAGCGAGCGAATCAGAGAGTTGAATGGAGCTCGGTGGCTAGGTAGTTGTGTGCGAGTCGGTTGATCTGTGGGGGGAAGTATGCTAGATTGAATGGATGAATAGGTAAGCGAGTGTTATAAACTAGAGTAGAGTGAAAGACTGTATGGGGATACATCGGAGGAACCCTCAGGCGGCCCCTAGGTGCGGGCCTATAGTAACCCCCGACCTCATGGTACCCCCAGGGAGTGCCGTGGTCGGAGGAGGACATGAAGGACGCGCTGGAAGCCGTGCGGGTGGGCGAGATGTCCATCAACCAGGCCGCCATTCACTTTAACTTGCCTTACTCGTCTCTGTACGGGAGGTTCAAGCGCGGCAAGTACGAGGACGGCCTGCCCCACCAGGATTTCCTCCACCAGGAGATGACGGTGGAGCACTACCCCGCGGACCCCCAGCAGCCCGCCCAGAACCCTCAGCAGCCCCCGCAGCCCCCTCAGCAGCAGCAGCACACGCCGCCGCCCCAGCAGCAGCAGCAGCAGCAGCAGCTCACCCCAGGACCGCCCTCGGAGCAATATTGACTAGATGAAGGGAACACTGGCCGCCACAGCGCCGACGTCGCGCCGGACCAACGCCGGTCCGAGTGCCCGTCGGAGGAAGATCAGAAAAAGTCACAGCCGACGCCTCAGTCACAGCGAGGAATTCAGGACTTGCAGCAACAGCAACAACCGCAGCAGCCGCAAACGCAGCCTACGGAGGTACAGACACAGGTTCCCCAGCAGGACGCCCCGCCGCCCGCCCTGGGTCCTGGCTCGGACTATGGCGAGAATGGAGGGCCGCCCACGCCCGTGGTCTTCACGGGCGGGGAGGCTCCCCTTTACTCCGCCACAGCCGCCACGGAGCCTCACCATCCAGCACTCTATTCACCGCCTGCGTCACTCCCTCAAGAGCCGCTTTATCCTCCCGCAGCTTCTTTGGCTCAGCCTCCGCCGCCTCCGCACCCGCAGGTGTACCCACATTACTACCCGCTACCCGAGTACCCTGCTCTGCGGCCCGAGTACCGTGCCTACCAGCCGTACCCGCCGCCGCGGCCCGACGATCCGACTCGGCCTGTGCAGTATCCGCACTACCCGCCCTACCATTTCTGACGCTGTGGCCACCAGTGTTCCCGCAGTCCAGCCGCCTTTTCCCACTCACGCACCTTTGGGCAGCACTGCGTATGAGCACTCCCCTTCTACCCTCCCCTTGTGCCCCCTTAGCGCGTAGCTCCGCGTAGCTCGGGGGTACAATAAAGAACAACAACAAGAAGAACAAGAAAAATCTTTTATGTAAACTTGAAAGAAAGAAAAAAGAAAGCTAGAAACAAGAAAATATGTAAACAAAAAGCGAGACAACTTTTTCGTATGAAAAGAACTTTTATTCACAAATGAAGCAACAGCATCTCAGGTGCCCCCCTCCCCAGACTTCCCTTTATTGTGTTTGTGTGTTGAAACGAAAAAGAAGAAAAGAAGAGGAGGAGGAGATAACTTATCAAGAAGCAAAACATACGAAAACGAAGAAGAAAAGGTGTAAACATTTTTTAGCACAGAAGTCATCGTTTCCAAATAGTTTTTTTTTTTTTAGTAGGAACTAATGTCCAGCACTTTCAAGAAAGAACGTGTACGAGTTCGAACACACGTGTGTATGTGTGTGTGTGTTTACGTATGTACATATTTGTGTACATGGGTATACACACATTTGTTATACGCATACATACATGCGTACGTACATACATGTTTATATATATGTATGTATGTATGCACGTATTTATATCAGGGATTGGAAAGAAAAGAAAAAACGTTTAGAAACCTCGGCCCTACAAAGAGAGAACCGGTGACCAAAATTGCCGAGAGAAAGATGGAAAGATTTTTTTTTTTGTGTGTGTGTCTCAAGATTTCGAATAGGTTTTAGGCCCGAAGTGTGACGCGAGCATTTTGTTTTGCTCTTCAGGTTTATATACATATATATTTAAGGAATAGAAAGAAAAGTTGTGTTTTATGTACGAAGGAGAAAATGGAAAACAAGAAGAAAAGTGGAAAAGAAGAAACGAGACGAGATGCGTGTACATGTTTATTTATTTATTTTTTTTTAATGTTATTTCTATTTTTTTTTTAAGTAAAAAGAGAGAAGGAAGAGAAGAAAGAAGCCCAGACGAAAAAGGCAAAGTAAGAAAAAGTGTGACAAAGAAAGAAACGAACGTAAGAAAGGAAGAAAGAAGAAGAGTAAGATAAGGATAGCCGACATTTGATCAAGTGTACGCTATTACCCCCTTCCCCCCTTCCCCCTCTCCCCTCGTGTACAGTAGTGTTGTTGTGATGTAAGAAATTTAGCCAAGGTGATGACAATGATGCGTTTCCCTCACAAAGATAGAGTACGTTTTCCCTTATTTTTTTACTTTTTTTTTGATTGAGTCCCTCCCTCCAGTCCTTTTCCTTCTCTTCTCCTCCTTTCCTGTGTTTTCCAAGTTGTCTTTCTTTTTCTTTTTTTTTCCTTCCTTTCGTTCTCTCGTATTTTTTTCTCCCTTTTTTTCCTCATACTGTTTTCTCTCCTCCGTCTTTCCCAATTTTCCTGTTTTAGTGCATATTTTCCATCTTATTCTCGCTGACTACGACTCTTTGATTAACCCTCCCCCTCCCTCTACTCCCTATCCCCTGACCTCTACCCCCCTACCCCCACAACTTATTTTTTTAGATTGTTATTACCCCCCCACCCCCCGCCCCCCCCAAAGGATCCCTCCTTGGAAGAAAAAAGCAACTCCTCAGGGCAGTTTTAAAATCACCCCAAGCACTCGGGCCTTACTTTCAAGTCAGGACGATGCGAGTGAACTTTGTATAACCCCCTCCCCCCCCTCTTCCCCCCCTTCCCCCCTTCTCCCTCTTCAAAGTAAGGAAAAATAATTGAACATAGATTTGGGAGAAAAAAGAATTAGGATAATTTTTTTTTTTTTTTTGTGCTGGTTTATTAGGGTGTGTTGGTATTTAAATAGTAAGCAACGCGGTATTATGCAGGTGTATGTATATATTTATAGATTTTTTTTTTCTTTCTCTCTTTTATTTTTTACCTTTTTTTTATCATTTCATTTCGTGGGGGGTTCTCTCAAAGTAGCGAGCTAGTTCAGTAGAGAGTAGTCAAAATGCACACTATTTTATTGAGAGTTAGTGGAGCGCATGGAATTTACCTTCTTTTTACCTTGTGTATTTCCCCCTCTCTCTCTTTCCCTCCCCCCCCCTCCCCCCTCCCCCCCAAATCTTCCCTCTCCTCCCCTTTGTTCCCCATTCACTTACTTTTCCTCTTCTGCAATTCCCCTTTTATCCCCGTTTTTTTTTTATTATTATTATTCGCCCTCTCTTCCTCCCTTCTCTCCCCTTCCCCTTCCCCTCTCTACCCCACTTCCCCCCTCCCCCGCCCCCTCCCCCATCCCCTGAAAATCCGCAGTATTGTAACCTCGGCATTGTAGTGTTATCTTAGGAATTCACATTTTTAGAGTTACTTCAAAGAGGAAAAAGAAAGAAAGAAAGAAAGAAAAGAAAAACAAACCAAAAAGGAGAACTTCGATGACGTCGTGTGCTTGAAGTCGCGCGTAAAACCCGCTCAGAGTCGTTGCGTTTCTTTTCTTTTTTTTTTTTTCCTTCCTTTCGTTCTCTCGTATTTTTTTCTCCTTTTTTCTTCATACTGTTTTCTCTCCTCCGTCTTTCCCAATTTTCCTGTTTTAGTGCATATTTTCCATCTTATTCTCGCTGACTACGACTCTTTGATTAACCCTCCCCCTCCCTCTACTCCCTATCCCCTGACCCCTACCCCCCTACCCCCACAACTTATTTTTTTAGATTGTTATTACCCCCCACCCCCCGCCCCCCCCAAAGGATCCCTCCTTGGAAGAAAAAAGCAACTCCTCAGGGCAGTTTTAAAATCACCCCAAGCACTCGGGCCTTACTTTCAAGTCAGGACGATGCGAGTGAACTTTGTATAACCCCCTCCCCCCCCTCTTCCCCCCCTTCCCCCCTTCTCCCTCTTCAAAGTAAGGAAAAATAATTGAACATAGATTTGGGAGAAAAAAGAATTAGGATAATTTTTTTTTTTTTTTTGTGCTGGTTTATTAGGGTGTGTTGGTATTTAAATAGTAAGCAACGCGGTATTATGCAGGTGTATGTATATATTTATAGATTTTTTTTTTCTTTCTCTCTTTTATTTTTTACCTTTTTTTTATCATTTCATTTCGTGGGGGGTTCTCTCAAAGTAGCGAGCTAGTTCAGTAGAGAGTAGTCAAAATGCACACTATTTTATTGAGAGTTAGTGGAGCGCATGGAATTTACCTTCTTTTTACCTTGTGTATTTCCCCCTCTCTCTCTTTCCCTCCCCCCCCTCCCCCCTCCCCCCCAAATCTTCCCTCTCCTCCCCTTTGTTCCCCATTCACTTACTTTTCCTCTTCTGCAATTCCCCTTTTATCCCCGTTTTTTTTTTATTATTATTATTCGCCCTCTCTTCCTCCCTTCTCTCCCCTTCCCCTTCCCCTCTCTACCCCACTTCCCCCCTCCCCCGCCCCCTCCCCCATCCCCTGAAAATCCGCAGTATTGTAACCTCGGCATTGTAGTGTTATCTTAGGAATTCACATTTTTAGAGTTACTTCAAAGAGGAAAAAGAAAGAAAGAAAAGAAAAACAAACCAAAAAGGAGAACTTCGATGACGTCGTGTGCTTGAAGTCGCGCGTAAAACCCGCTCAGAGTCGTTGCGTTTCTTTTCTTTTTTTTTTGCAATTGACGTAACATAGTGACGTCATTCTGTTGAGGAGAAGTTTTTTTTTAAGAGAGTGTGAAGAGAAATCTTCAGAGGACAAGTGTGTGTGTGACGTCGAAACTCCAGGTGACGTTCGTTTCCAAAATAAGAGAAGTTTTTTGTTGGTGGCGTCGTGACGCTTCGAGCGACGTGCCTTGCGCCCTCGTCCCTCGAAGGCCGCGACCCCGTCACCGTTTACCACAAGTGTCGTCGCTTCGGCGGCGGCGTGTTTAGCTACGGGTGATGTCGTTACTTCGGGTGTCGTCTTCAGCAGCGGGGGACCGCGCCGCGCTGCTTGACGTCGCCAACTGCCACGAAACACGGGTTGATGTCAGCACCGTCGCCGTCACAAGGCCGGGGTGTGACCGCCGGCCGTCACGAAGTCACGGCGAGGTGACGTTGCAGGTGTCACCGCGCGACGAAACGCTTGAGGTGACCTTTGTGTCTTGTCGCCGTGCAGCACATCTTGTAAGGTTGTCGGAGCCCATCTTTTCCTTCGCTTCCGTCGGGACAGTCACAACAACAAATATACAAAAGTACATCATGCAAAGAAGGAATGTAACAAATACAAAAAAGCAACCATGTTAGGCTGTCTAGTTATCAGAAACGTATTAAGCCATTTAATGGCCATTGTTGAGGAGAAGAATAGGTGATTAATCATTAGTTCTAATACTAAGAAACCTCTATCTGCTGTTTTATCGTTTCTCTTACTTTCTTTTTTTTATTTGGTTTCTGTAACCGGGACAGGGCCGGGCGTGAAGGCTGCAATGACACCACCTCTGGCTTACCCAGGTCGGGTGCCGGGCGCCGCCGCCCACGCCCTCCTGCTGGTCTCGCTCACGGGCGCTCTCTGGCCAAGGAGAGCGAGTGACACCTCTCCTCTACCTCTGCTCCACCCACCTCCACCCCTCCCCTCACCTTCAGACCTGAACGACCTCCTCCCTTCCTTATGTCATACATGAGGATGACCTAATCTCCCGCCCTGACCGCCGCCCCCTCATCCTCCCTCCAGCAGCGTCCTCCTCAGGTGGGCGGAGGATGGGAGGAGTCGTGCCCCTCCCTTGCCCTTGGCAGGAGCGCCCATTGCATGTCCACTCGCTTTGTCCCTCGCCCGGTTGTCGCTTGAGATAGGCGGCCCTTCTCTGTCATGGTTTAGTGGACCCGAGTTTTTAGGACAGTCCCCCCAAGAGATGTGTGTGTGCGAGAGAGAGAGTGCGAGACGAAGCTTCAAACAGATCGAGAACGTCCTCGAAAAGGAAGCAGGGATAGAGATCTTTCCAGGTGGTCTGTTCCGAGTCTCAAGAGAAGAGTAAGAGAGATAGAAAGAGAGATAGAGAGAGAGGAAGGAGAATGGAGAATGTCAAAAGCTGAAGAAGACCCGCGATTTTATTTCTTTTGTACACTCGAAATACCTTCTCCACCCCACTCATCGGCACCTGTGAGTCAGCGCTCACGTTAAAAAAGGGAAAAAAATCCAGAGAAGCTCACAAACACAAGTTAGTAGGTTTAGGATTTTTTTTTAACAAACATTGCTCATTTCTTCCAATTTTTAATTGTAGATTTTTGCCTCCATGGATATATGTTCCAGTTATTTGTTATTGTGTCCTCCCCCCTTTAGTTATTATTTCGTTTCTTTACTGAGGTTTTTATATATTGGTCTGTAAGAAATATTGTACGAGTACTAACACAGGTAGGTAGAGACAAACCCCCTTTATTTAAAAAAGAAGATGCCTATTAACAAAGCTGTAATATTGTAAGAGTTAAGATACGTATAATTAAATGATTCAGAGGAGGGATGAGTTACGGTTAAGTAGAAGTTATCATGCACGTGGGACTCTTGACCGCCGTCACGTGACCAGGACACGGCCTCGAGGGGCACTGGAGAGAACGCACGCGGCACGCCCAGGCACGCGGCCACCCGACGGGGGAGAGTGTCAGCGGGGCCCAGCTGTCATGGTGTGGGTTTGTGTTATTTTTTTTCCCTTTTTTTTTTGTTTGTGTCACATTGGCTAGTGTTAGGGAGGACGGCGTGGTTATAGAGCGACGGGTGTCCGGTGTCCTTTTCCATGCGTGTGCCAAGCGTCCCGTGGCACTGCTTCCGTTGGGTGGCGAGGCGGGCCGTGCCAGTGCCGCAGCTGCTGCTTCCAGTGGATCTCGGCGGGGAAGCGACCTCTGGCTCCCCTCCCCCCTTCCTCCCTCCCTCCTCCCCCCTGAAGAGCGATGGGTAGCGCGACTTGACGTGGCGCTGCGTCCTCTGTGATGTGTGTATGTTGTAGAGGGGGGGAGGGGCGTCACTGTAACGTGTGTGCTTCACCGCGTCTCCAGGTCACGTGACTCG